TAGATATTAAAGCAGAGCAGGAGAAAGACCAAGATTTGAAGCCAATAATTTATTTTCGTTAAGGATAAGAAAATGAGGATGAAGCTCAGAGTGGTGGAAAGGATAATTGAAATTAGAATTGATTTCATTATCTTTTTAAGGTTTTAAACTTTTTAGTTGGAAGCTAAATGTACTTTTTATACTAAAAAGATAAGATCCTCATCAGTAAATGGAGACAAAGAGTAAAAGTCATACTACATCAACGAAATTCCAGTATCAAGCGGAAGCTTCGAATCCAAAGTGGTGTTTCGGAGAGAAGTGGAAAAATATGAGGCGAAGGAAATAGATAAAGAGAAAAGATGTACCAATGATCACGTGAAGTCCGTGAAATCCTGTGGCTATGAAGAACGTTGTGCCGTAAGCTGAGTCTGCAATTGAGAATGGAGCTTCTCAGTATTCTCAGGCTTGTAATCTAGTGAAGTAAAGGCCTAGGATGATATTGAGGAGAAGGGCTTGTAAGGATTGAGAATGGTTATTTTTTATGATTTTATGAAGGGCCCAGTTGTTAGTAACACCTGATGATAGTAAAATTGCGGTGTTAATAAGAGGGATTTGAAAAGGGTTGAAGGGCTAGATTCCTGAAGGAGGTCAAGAGGATCCTAGCTCAATTCTTGGGGATAATCATCTGTGAAAAGATGCTCAGAAAAATGAAACGAAGAATAAAATTTCTGAGATGATGAATCAAATTATCCCTCAACGTAATCCTGATATTACTACTGAGGTGTGATTTCCTTGGAAGGTGGATTCTTGGACAATATGTCGTCATCATTGAATTATTGTTCTTAGTGCAATAAGTAGTCCTAGAATTAATAGATTGGGGTTTATATTATGAAATAATTTAATTAGCCCTGTTGTTAAAGTAAAAGCTCTTAAAGCCCCAGTTAGGGTCATGGACTTTGGTCAACTATGTGAAATGGGTGTGTTTTTTTGGCCATTAGTAGATTTCTGTGGATTATAATGTTGATAGAACTACGAATATGTAGGTTTGAATTAATGCTACTGCTATTTCTAAGGAAAGAAGGGTAATTTGGGCGATGGAGATAGTTAAGACTGTAGATAGATTAGATATGACTGCTCTATTTCTAAGAAGGTTAAGGAGAAGGTGTCCGGCAATTATGTTTGCAGCTAGACGGACTGACAGTGTGATTGGTCGAATTAGGTTTCTAATAGATTCAATACAGTCTATGAATGCTATTAAGGCTGGTGGGGTCCCTTGAGGGACTAGGTGGGCAAATATGTGAGAAGTATTATTTAGTCATCCGAATACCATAATTGTTATTCAAATTGGTAAGGCTAGTGATAGGGTTATTATAATGTGTCTTGTGGATGTAAAGATATGAGGTAAAAGTCCTAAGGAGTTATTTATGGAGATTAGTCAGAAAAGACAGATTAGGGAGAAGGTTATTCCAGGTTTTTTTGAGTTTGACAATAAAATTGAGAATTTTTTGTTGAGAATATTAAATACGTTAATAATTAGAATTTGAAGGCGGAAAGGGATCATTCAATGGAGGTAGGGGTGAATAGAATGATTAAGATAGTACTAAGTCAGTTTAAGGAAATGGATTGAGATGTAGAAGGATCAAAAAAGTGAAAAGAGATTTGGTATCATTTTCAAATGAATTTTTGGGAAGTTTTTATTTGTATTTTTATTGGAGGAGTTGAGTTAAAGTTTAAGTAGATAATTGTTATTGAAATTAAAAGTTAGAGGGAAAGTATAACTGTTATGATGGCTCAATTAAGAGGGGCTATTTGAGGAATTAAAATATACTTTAATTAGTGACTCCAGCTTGACAAGCTAGTGTTATTTACTTAACTAATCTTTTTCGCTGGGAGTAGAGGGAAGACTACTATGGGTTGGTTTAAGAGACCATTACTTTCTTTCAGTCACCTAGCGATTCGACTATTGAATTTATTCATTCAATGAAGGATGAGGTATTAACGCTTTCGACAACAATTGGTATGAAGCTGTGGTTTGCTCCACAGATTTCTGAGCATTGTCCAAAGAATAGGCCAGGACGATTGATTATAATTGAATATTGATTTAAACGTCCTGGGATTGCATCAATTTTTATTCCTAGCGCTAGGACTGTTCAGGCGTGGATGACATCAGCAGCGGTGATTATTAATCGAATTTGGGTATTTATAGGAAGGCCTGTGCGGTCATCAACATCTAGTAATCGGAAGGAAGCTGAGGATCCTTCTGTTTCAGAAATTATGTAGGAATCAAATTCAATAGAAGTGAAGTCTGAGTATTCGTATGATCAGTATCCTTGATGACCAATAGTTTTACTGTTAGAGTGGGGTTACTAATTTCATCTATGAGATATAGAAGTCGGAGAGAGGGTAGGGTAATGAAGATTAATATGAGAGCTGGGATGATGGTTCACAGTGTTTCAGTTTCTTGTTCTTCTAGGAGGACTCGATTAGTAAAGGAGTTGTATATGGTATTTATTATTTTGTATCCTACTAGGGTTGTAATTAAGGTAAGAATGATTATTGTGTGATCATGAAAAAAAATTATTTATTCTATAGTTGGGGAAGCTCTGTCTTGAAATAAAAGGTGTGATCAAGTTGCCATATGTTATTTAATTAATATTGTTAGTTGATTGTATGTGTGATCTGCTGGTGAGATATTATGTTGTCATTCTACTGAGGAAGGGAAGTGGTTAGAGAAGATGATGGAACGTTTTCTGATAATGGATTCTCATATAATAAAAATGAATCCTATGACGGCAATAAAGGAGAGAAGAGAACCTAGGGAGGAGAGTACGTTTCAAGTTGTGAAAGCATCTGGGTAGTCAGAGTATCGTCGTGGTATTCCACATAGACCTAAGAAGTGTTGAGGGAAAAAAGTGGTATTTACTCCAATAAATATGACTGTAAAATGGATTTTTAGTCATTTTGGGTTTATTGCTATTCCGAAGAACAGAGGAAATCAGTGAGTAACTCCTGCTAAAATAGCGAAAACTGCCCCTATAGAGAGGACATAGTAAAAGTGAGCTATAACGTAATAGGTGTCGTGGAGAATGATGTCAATGGAAGAGTTAACTAGAATTACTCCAGTTAATCCTCCGATTGTGAAGAGGAAAACGAAACCTAGGGCTCACAGAAGAGGGGGTTCATAGGAAAGTTGTGATCCATGTAGGGTAGCTAGTCATCTAAAGATTTTAATGCCTGTAGGAACGGCAATAATTATGGTTGCGGAAGTGAAATAGGCTCGTGTGTCGACATCTATTCCAACTGTGAATATGTGGTGAGCTCAAACTACGAAGCCAAGGACTCCAATGGCTAGTATAGCATAAATTATACCAAGAGTCCCTTAAAGGTTTCTTTTTTCCTGTTTGGTGACTAATAATATGGGAAATTATTCCAAATCCAGGGAGGATTAAAATCTAAACTTCAGGGTGTCCGAAGAATCAAAATAAATGTTGATAAAGGACTGGGTCCCCCCCCTCCCCTCCAGCAGGATCAAAAATGATGTATTGAAGTTGCGATCTGTAAGAAGTATGGTAATAGCTCCTGCAAGAACGGGAAGAGATAGAAGAAGAAGGATTGCTGTGACTTTTACCGATCAAACGAATAAGGGTATTCGTTCAAGAACTATTCCAGATGTTCGTATATTGATGATTGTGGTAATGAAGTTAATAGCGCCTAGAATTGATGCTACTCCTGCTAAGTGGAGGGAAAAGATTGTTAGGTCTACTAAACCTCCTGCATGAGCAATCCCCGATGCTAGTGGAGGGTAGACAGTTCAGTCGGTTCCTGCACCTACTGCGGCGGATCTGAGAAGTAGTAGAAAAAATGGGGAGAAGTCAAAAGCTTATGTTATTTAGTCGGGGGAATGCTATATCAGGGGCACCTAGCAAAAGGGGATAAGTCAGTTACCAACTCCTCCGATTATCACAGGTATGACTATGAAGAATATTATTATTACAAATGCGTGGTCTGTTACAATTACATTGTAAATTTGATCGTCCCCGATTAGTGATCCAGGTTGACCAAGTTCGGCTCGGATTAAGATTCTGAGAGCTGTTCCTACTATTGCGGCTCAAATACCAAAAATTAAAAATATATTGTCCCAATGTCTTTGTGGTTTGTTGAATTGCAAATTTAAAGATACATTTTTATGTTAAGGCTTAAAATATAAAAGATTTAACCTTTTTTGGTAACTTTGAAGGCTACTAGTTTTTATAACTTAAAATCTTATAATAGGGGAAATATTAGTATGGAAGTAATTAAGCCAAAGAGATTATAGAAAGGGATAATTGTTTTGATAGAGGTGATGTTTTTATTCATTTATTGTTTGTGTTAATTAAAAGAAGTGAGGAATAAGAAATACGGGTGTAATAATAAAGATTAATAAGAGCCGAGATGATTAGGATTAAAACTATTAAGAATATGTTTATTTGAAGGAGGGAAAAAATGATAAGTCATTTTGGTAAAAATACTAGGAAGGGAGGTAATCCCCCCTAGAGAGAGAAGATTGATAATGATGAGGGGGTTAAGTTTTTCATTTTGATTTGTGAAGATTTGATTAATGTGGAATGTATTAAATGGGGCAAAACATGGGGTGATTGAGGAGATGAGAAATGTGTAGATGGAAATATAAAATAGTCATAGTGTTTTTGAAACTAGAGTAGAGGAGAGTATTCATGCTATGTGAGAGATTGATGAGAAAGCTAAAATTTTTCGAAGGGATGTTTGATTGAGTCCCTCTACTGATCCTCTGATTGCGGATAGAATGGAAATGATAATAATAATGTTTTTTGGAAAAATTATTGAAATGATGGAAAGGGGCAATTTTTTGTCATGATATTAAAATGAGGCAGTTTATTCAAAATAATCCTTCTGAAACTGTTGGTAATCATATATGAAAGGGGGCAGCTCCCAGCTTAACTCTAAGGGATAAGATAACTATAAAGGGGACTATTCAGGGGGTTGTATTGGTGAATTGAAGAATGGAGAAGGACGATGAAAACAATAAGAAAAAGAGAAATGTGGAAGAAGCAATTGTTTGAACAAGAAACTATTTTAGAGATGCTTCTGAGGCTCGTTTGTTTGAATGGGAGGAAATTAGAGGGATGAAGCCTATAAGATTTATATCTATTCCTATTCAAGCTATAAATCAAGAGGAGTATGTTATTATAATTGTTGTTCCTAGAATAAGTGGCAAAGAAAATAAATTGATTGCAGGAAGAGTTAGGATTAGAAAAGACAAGCTTATAACTTCTATCAGTGGGTTATGAACCCTATAGCTTAGATTAGCTTACTTTTCTAATTTTTGATGTATGGCACGTTGAATTTTGATTTCAAAAGAGATGGTTCGGGCCATCAGAATTAGGTGGAGATAGGATTTTCCTATTTTGTTTATTCCATCAAAATAACCCTTTAATCAGGCACTTCACCTTTATGAATATTGGGTAATTACACTAATTACTTTTTCAAAGAAATATCTCATCTATAATCTAATGAACCCTTATAATTCATTATATCTTAAATGGGTGATTAAAGTATACTAAATTATGATCCTAATTGGCATCTCAAAATAAACATAAACCACATAAAAATAAGTAGATTATAAAAATATATTAAGACAATTTGAGCATAATGGGGGTATACATTTATTAATTATTATATAAATAATAAAAATTCTTACTTGGAAATAGATTTTTTAAAATTTATAGTCCTATAATTTCAAATAGATTATATAATATTATTTCTATTATGTAAAAAAAAGTAGAAATAATAAAAATATACCGAGTATGAATGTAATTTGTACTGAGTTTGATTTTGGTTTTTCTTAGCTTTATGAACAATATAAACATACTGTTGCG